GTAGCCAAGCATGTCTGCCCAAACAAGAGATACACCACCAAAAATAACTGCATGTCAACAAAAAGGACACGATGTACTGAGATCAAAATAAAATCAGATGATTTTGCTATATTTGTCCTTGTCATTCCTTGTCAATAATGCTGTCGACGTTGGACTTCATAGCAATACATGGCTTTGTCAAATTAAATACACATCAAAACATATTAAAGGCTTATACGTGTCATGCAGTTAGAAAAAAAACGAAAAAGAAAAAATAACACGAACAAGTATTAATATCGATACATATAACTTTATATAAACGGTGTATTTTCGTTGAGATTTAGCTTACAGTACGACATATATTTGACAATAAAAGACACGTGAAATTTGTGATGGGTTATCAGGCATACTTGAGCAGTGGATCTCTACGCCACGGTGACTGACTGTCCTTTTTGGCAAGAACGGCGATATACATGGTAATTGATGGGGACTGTCAATAACAGTTACCAGTACCTTCACTTATTTCACGTGCATGATTTCTTAGCTGTAATAGTTCAGAATATAAAGAAGCGAAACTTTCGTATATGGTAACGTCATTTCAATATTTCTTCCTTCCTTTCTATTTCCCTTTCGAACTTTCTTTGAAATTGGCCCTGTCATGTTTGCTTTTATCTGCAGAAGTAACACAGAGCGAGTTTGCTTTAAATGAACATACACTGACCATGCTGTTAATCTTTCCCCCTCTGGTGGACCATTCACAGATCGTGATCAGATCATTTTTTTAATATGATTTTTGTCCGCCAAGCAATTTGATAGATCGATATTGCACTTTGATTAATTAAAACAGTACATTTCATCGATGAGCTTTTAAAGTATCGGCTCTGCACTAATTAAACTTGTGCCTGCAAGGCGAGCCATGTTCCATTTCCATTCTTTTTAATGACAAACGTTATTGAAGAGAAATTCTCTGTTTTAGCATTGTGTTATAGCAGTTGTCTATGTATGTACATACAAAGCACCGAACGATTTTATTTGCAGAAAACGGAAAAATTCTATGGTAATGCTCGGACTCAATTAAATTATTTGATTTGGTTATCATCATTTTACCTGTGTTATATTATAACGTCATACCTGCTATAAAATATGATGTCACTAATTTGTTTGTTGCAATGTGTGCTGCTCTGACGTTCTCGAAATTTGAAGAGAACAAGAAGATAAAAACGCGAAAGAGTAAGTTTTGCTTTACTTTCATCATCATAACGTTTAGTTCCAAAAACAAATTTTCAGTCATATATGAACCCTTACCTCTGATATATTTTTTAAACGTTATATAACTGATACTGTAGACATTTACTGTACTTTCCGATATGTTTTCATTGTTTTGATCTTAGTATCACTTTAAGTCCTCAATTAAATAATAATCATAAGGTGAAGTATAGTGTTACTTTATTTGGGATTTTGAATAAACAAACTAGTTTTAAGTAAGCGTTTCGTTACTTCGTATTTGTAATAATTATTCGACAGATGACGTAAACATAATTGCTCGCTTGGTACTTCAACCAAATATAGTTTACTGCAAGTCACATCACCTGAAAGGTTCGCGTGACAATCTATTACGTCGATAAAGCGATTTGTTTGTATTTAACATAAATATTGTTTTGGCTTCTCTACACAAGGAAATTATATTGTATGGTTTAATGTAAATGACCAGTTAACTGACGCGTTATATGCCCACTATATCATTACTGACACGTAAATACATTCTGAAGAATAAATCATATTTTTCAGTGAGGTGAAGAAATATCAAAACTATAATGGAATTCATCATTTGATTTTGTATAAATAGCATCTTGGGACCAATCTTGTTGAGCATTATTTTGTTAAATGTAAGATCGGTCACAATCTCGAAGGGAATGTATGAGCACACCATATCAAATTAACAAACAACCTATTGATTTATTGATGACAGCTAATCTTGACATCATAATGGCATTTGATAGATTAAATTAAAAAAATCCTTGATACTGAGGGAGTCATATTTCTGCAATTTGCCGTCTGTTGTTTCAGACACAAAATAAATAATTCACGAACTAATAGTGTTACTTGTGTGAGAGTCATGTACCAGATATTGTGGCGTAAGCAATTCCGTGTTAAGTGTTGACGTCACACAGATATGGGTCAAAATATAAATAACATGAGAGAGGGGAATGCGAAAATAATATAAATATACCTAAACAATGTAATTCAGCGAAATCAGGATGACATTGGATCAACAACGTGCCTTTTAAACAAGGCGAGTAACAACTATTTCAAATATTTAATTGTTGTATTTTATCACGTTGACCTGACATACAAATAGTTCCAACAGAAAGCTAGCTGATTTTGATAAAGATGATAATTTTGGCCAGGAAGTAAACATAGCAATTCCAAAGACCATGTAGGTTCACGCTATCGCTTAAAACTATCAAACTATCCCGTCTTTTCGTATTGCAGAGTTATCTGCACTTGTGAGCAGGGATTGATTGTTACGTCATTTGTTTGTGAGAGTAACGTCATCAATTTTTGAGAAAACGACGTAATTTTCTCACACAAACGAATGACGTAACAATCAATACCTGCTCACAAGAGAAGATAACTCTGCAATACGCAAAGACGGAATAGTGTGGGTCTGAATAGTCACCTACCCAAGATTGTCCAGATAAAGGGGAATTCATCATATGGAAATATTACCTACCACATTTTAGTGAAATCCTTTCTATTTTCATGTATATACTCAAGTAAATATAGTTCTCTAGGAATTAGATAATATATATATATATATACCGAATCAACGACGTTATATTGAGGAGATTTAGTTCAAAAGGTGTTGACAGACAGGGGGATTTACCAGAGGATAAATGATTTTGATATAGACAAAGACTATCATTACTTGTCACATAAATGATTTGCTACAAAAATTGTCAACTTAGATTTTAATAGGAATGCACTCCTTATGTCGTATTAAAATGTGTAACAGAAAAGCCGACGTGACACTTTGACAAAGATCTACCATGGTGTGGTATAAGAAGAACATTAGGAGTGGAATTTTTGCTGGGTGAAGTATCCGTTCAAGGGAAGGTAAGAGGGTTCTAGCTCCCCTCAACTCTGATTCTTGCGAACGATAAATGTAGATACATGTAATCTCTCACGACGGAGATGCCTAAAATGATGATGATTGTGATGATGATTGTTATTCCGTCTTTGCGTATTGCAGAGTAACTTCTCTTGGGAGCAGGTATTTATTGTTACGTCATTGCTTTGTGCGAGAAAATTACGTCGTTTTCTCAAAATTTGATGACGTTACTCTCACAAACAAGTGACGTAACAATCAATACCTGCTCCCAAGAGAAGATAACTCTGCAATACACAAAGAAAGAATAGGGCAATGCTTTTTGTACGAATTGGAATGAAAAAGGCTCTATAATCCTGTGGAACACTGGCATAAGACTGATGTGTTATACCATATTTTCCATATCAGTACCATCTTCTTTATAAAACGCGTTATAGACACTCCGGTATTATAACAATTCAGGATTTATTCATATCAGATAAAAACCTCTGTTTGGGTTTGTGTATGGATATTTTAGATTGAATACGACCTTCCTTCTCTGTATTTCTAGTGGATATTAAAGTGGTAACTAAACAGCAAGATCAGATTATACAAACGTCCATACTCATAGATCTTCAATGAATCTATGATAAAATGTCATTTGTGTGTCGTTTACATTTTACGGCATGCTGAGTTCAGTTTGATATTCGACAGAATAGTTCAAACATACAAATACTCATGGCATGTATTTTATAGCATGAAATGTTCGACATGGTGAGTCTGTCAGTGTTAACCGCAATCATAGCCTTAAGGAACATATGTATTCCTTATAAGTGACTGGTTGGGATATTTGTGAACAGGAAAAAGAAAACCATAACTGTTGTAACCTTTCATACTCTTATTGTTTAGATACCTTACAATTCATTATGAGGTCGGTTTAATTAATCTAAAAAACAAAGTGTTTGTGTTAATTTAGGTTATCTGACCTTTTATGGATTTAATTTTTAATATTTCTGGCTTTGTAATTTTGAAAATATAAAACATATAGTTAAGCAAAAATATTGTAAATTACAAAAGTAGATTGGTGTAATTATATACATCGTTCTAATTATCAGACAGAGGTTTACACTAAGGTTTAACTTGGTTTTGATTGATTCGTAACGATCTCCATACATTGTTTACATTTACAAATAACTAAATAATGTAACGCTTATATGATAAACAATAAAAACAAAGTTTCTACTTGATACCATAAATACAATTTATCCATGGTAAAACATAATAGAATGTATCAATGATAAACAAGGATATAATTACCTACATTTGTATGATAAACATAAATACTTCAATGTGTCGATGGTAAAAATAATAGAATTTAGAATGTAGCTATGGTAAATAAAGATAATACTGATCTACCGTTATAGGATAAACAACACAATGATGTGTCGATGGTAAAGATAACAGAACATAGCTAAGATAAATAATGTAAATGCATCCGCATTCATAAGATCAACAAAAGTATAAAGTGTCGTTGGTAAAAATAATACAATGTATCTTTGATAAACAAAGGAAAATTCGGAGAATTTAGCTATGATAAATAAAAATAAAATGCATCTACATTTAAAAGATATCCAATATTACAATGTGTTGATTGTAAACAATAATAGAATGCAGCTATGAAAAAGAAGTATAAAATTACCCACATTTGTATGATTACCAATAATGCAATGTGTCGATGGTAAAAATAATAAAACGTACCTATGATAAATAAAGATACAATATATATACATTTGTATGACAATAATATAATGAACCTGTGGTAAAACTATATATATATATATATATATATATGTGCGTGCACAAACAAGGTTACAATATATCTATGATAAACAATAAATGCCATAATTGTTTTCAATGGAAAGTGATAAAAATAATATATATGTATATATAAACTATGAAACAATAACAGACATAGGATATTTTGTATGCATTTCCTGGTGTATTCCCCTTTATAAATTATACCAACCTACCTTGTTGATAAAACAATAATAAAAATAGAAAATCCTTTATTGAACTTTGTGTAGCTTACAGTAATAATAAAATACCAGCCGTGATTTAATTTGGACCTAGTTCCTGTATAAAAGAAACGCAAACAGCATCTGGCATGTTCCTTACCCTCGACAACGGTAAACATCACCAGTATTCTAAAGACGTTCACTGAATCAGACAATACCAAGCGCGAACAAATACTTTCTTTTGGTTAGTGTTATACTTTCATTACTATATTACAATAGATAAGACGACTAAACTACGTACCGATCAACGATACAGACAATGAACCACATACATTAATGATTACAACCCTGAACCTGCTGGATTGAAATGAATCGTCACTATTAGAAAGTATGCCTGCAATCATTATGCCAAATGACGAAATTTAGTATGTCTTTCATACAATACTGACATAATTTCATCGCATTGATGACGTGTAACGTCGTACAGGCTGACGTCACTTCCTGACAATTGGACGACGTATGATGTTTGCTATAACGATGTCACATCATCACACATCCAATCCCATTGGCCAACTGAAGTGTCTCAACGTCATATTTATGTGTCAAAAACTAACGCCATTCAAAACACATGTGACGTAGTGCATCTAACAGACTTGCCTTTTCACGATACGCTGTAATACATTACGACTCCTTGGTTGACGTTAATCCATCTCATAGTTGACGTATTGTATCAGTTAATATGACGTCACTTTATCCCACGAGTGACGTTTTATATTGTTTTGGCTGATTTCACTTTATTTTATACGTTCGCCTGTTTGACGTCACTTCGTCACATATGTGTATACTGTGACGTTTCACACATCACATTCTGACGTATATGACATGCTAAGCCTGTGATGCTGACGACACTTCGTCGGATTTTAATTTGACACATGGTCTGCTCGTTTCTCCTTTAGTCTTATCCTTGTCTTTCCTACGTTTTATGCCTGGACTTTGGCGCAATTTTAAAAGAATGTCCTTTTCCCTTCGTATATCTCTTAAATCTTCAAAATATTTATATTTGGGTTTAAATTCCTCCTCTTCAGACTCTGCACGCGTACACCCATATATGTAACAGTCTGTTACAGCATCATCCGTCATTAGGGGAGGGGCACCATCTAGGGAAGAAATTCAAATTATAGTGTTAGCATAAGTCATTTATATGCTAGAACGTAACGTTTTGTTTAAACCTTCAAACTACTACCTGCATTGGAAGAAAACACAAGCAAGTTGAGTTTAGTCCAAGCACGAACAAGATTTTTTCAGGCCAAATCTAAGAATGTGTACGGTGTTTTACTATTGTGTTTTGGGTTGGGTATTGTAATTGTGATTGTAGGGTTGCTATGTAATTTACTATTCAATCCAGTGACATGAGTCGTGTATCGACATTGCCTAGGTACATCTGAATGTGGTGATGTATCTGGCACACTGTCTGACACGGTTTTTTGTAAGCATCATTTATGAAGATACAATGATTTATCAAAGAAACGATAACAAAACAACACATCCATCTCGAAATATAAAAACAAACTAAATAAGTTACTTACTTAAATTAGAGTATGTTTCTCGCCTAACTACTTTAAGAGCAACTGTTTTGAAATATACAATCAATCTACTTGACAGAAGTAATTGCGATAGCGTAGTGATTTAACTTCTAGCCTTGGTGAGGCACGTGTCACATAGTAAGAGTACAAACCTAAGCCAATAAAACCAATACGATGAAATTGTGCTCCCTCGCTACTCACATTTATACGACCATTTAGTACACTCAAAGTCGTTATCTGGTACTGTTGCTATGGTTACTGGCACAGCAGCGTATAGCACCGTGTCGGCAAAGCTGGCCTCAACCTACAAGTGGGAGAAAGGATCATATGCCTTATTGTACAATCGAATAATACTGCAATCAAACAGCTATAGAAGATATCAGGAAATATGACTATGTCGAAGTTCTTGGTAGAAGAACATATATGGAAAATGCAAAAATGACGTCATGTTTGGTATTATATCATATAATAATACAAATATTATCTAATGCTTGACACTGCTTTGCAAAGCTTCTATACATAAAATATGACGTCATGCTTGGTTTCAATACATATTATCATAGATAAATGGCAGTGAATATAGGGAAATGATTGGATACATAATTATCATTATAAAAATAACAAATTAACGTAAACAAAATAGCACTTGCTGTTGTAGAATACATATGGAAACTATATGCTGTCAAAAATGTATATAAAATAGGAAGTACCACAAACGTGCGTAGTTCTACATTTATGTAATAGGCATGTAATATTTTCTATAAAAAAAAACCATTTACTCCACAGTGGACTCAAAAATTGGAACACGCCCTTGTTTCAATCCGACGATTTGATTAGCGTATAACACCACTTGCTTTCATCCGAAAAGGAATAACATGGACGGATATTAGGTAATATAACATTCTTGGACTGCAACATCAAACCTTTTTTGAAATTGTTCATAAAACTACCATGAGAATATTTAACATAGAAACAATCTGAAATGACACAACCTCACTACTCACACCATCCTTAACGAAGAGAGAGTATGGTTAATACTTGAATCTAGAGGAAATCCTATAGGTTAATACAATTTTAGAAATGGTGTAAAGCATTACCCCGCCATAACTTAGCAGCATTCTCTGAAATCGACATTATGAAATCCATTACCACCACAACATAGAAACGCAAATAGGTATCGACCTGTACGTTGTTGAACAATACATATATAATGCTTTATTGCCCTCTGCTAATTATCTGTAGAATGCTCTCCCTAGAGACGTATGAAAAGATGGATCCTGCACAAAAAAACCTCACCTTAATAGGAATTCTTCCCAGATATAAATGTATTTTAACTATTGTACTAATATAGGTCATCATTCTTCATGTAAGTTTTGGAATGAAACATAGTTTACTAAATGATCACCGTGCCATTAATAGCTAATAGTGAACCCACTCTGTTCGTGGCTTTAGGACTTTGAATAAACAAAAATACTATCAAAAAAGAGATCATGTCGAAAATATGAATGCGCTGGGCAAATATGATTTGGATCTATCAATGGCTAATATTCTGAAGGAGTTTTCCTGTTTGGTGACCACAACCGGTTATTTTCCAAAATCGAAATGAATCTACCTCTTTAAGAAATTTCGATACAAAACTATTCACATATAGGAGTTTAATTAGAAAAATACTGGGGATAAATGTTCTTTCTTGATCTATTTCATCCCATTCTTGATAGAAAAAACCCATTTTATTCAGATAACAAGTAACTCTTAACAAGTAGACTCGTGCATTTATTTGTCTGTGAGCGGTATCGAATACTCAAAGTATCCAAACTCTTAAATTGACCAAATGGCTCTATCAGTGATTTATTAAAAAGTTAAAATTAAAAACAACGTTGCTAACAGGTCCCCACCTAAAACCGAAATGCGCATCACTAATACAAGCTTTGATAAATCATTTCCGAAACAAAAATCACACCGTGTGGGACTTTTATGAAATCAATAGAGATGCAATGAAATAAAATATGAAAAAAACATGAACATAAAATACATTTATAAAAAAACATGAATATAAAAAACATGAATAAAAAAACATGAATATAAAAAACATGAATAAAAAAACATGAATAAAAAAACATGAATATAAAAAACATGAATATAAAAAACATGAAAACAAACAGGGATTCAATCTGTGAACTTCAGATTGTTATACCATCGCTGTAACCGATTGAGCTATGTAGTCAACTGTATTGTTCTGACCCAATTGTGCTACAGTTATATCCAAACACAAAATTAAGGGGAGGTTACTGTGTTTACGAAAAACCCGAGTGCAGTGGGACAGGGAGCCGTAAGTGGCCAATTGTTCATTGTGGCTGTAAAGGGTTATGTCATGTAGCTCTTAACACCAATACACTAAAAATGTAAACAATCAAATGCGATGAAAATGTTGGATGAAAAACATGTTTCATATAATAAATACTATTGACAAGATTGCATATACAAAAATGGCTACTAGGTGTAGCAATACTCGTTCTTTTTGTATTACGAAAATATAGGATCGGCAGGTAAATGTTATGCTTTATTACCTGTGTTACTGGTCAAGCATACAATATGAATAAGAATACTTATGTTGCAAGTAATATCATTGAATAATATGGCATAGTTTAGATAATATGCAGCGAAACAAAAATACGCCAAACTACTAAAAATCAATAACTTAATAACGTGTTTTTGTTTTGCATTTTTATTAACAACATATGACGAATTGGGATCGGGTGTGTATGCCACCTGGCACATTCAATTTGAATCACCATTACTCCAATATCAGTCATGTCCGCCTTCTCTGATGGTAGATTTTTTTATCTATATTTCGAAAGCAACATTTGCCATTTATGAATATTAAATATAGATAGCATAGTTCAATAACTAAGTTACAAATATAAATTACTGTTAAGACAAATGGTAATTTAAATACCAAAGGCAAAACAAATTAATCTTAGCTCAAGAATGTTTTATCAATTTTGTTGATTCAATAATTTTTCAATAAAAAGATATTACAGTCCATTAATTTCTTGGTATCAACGAATATGAAATGAAAAAGTCCAATGTCGATGTTGGCAGATTTTGTTTACTCTTAACAAACTCTTACTACAAATTGCCATCGTGGTAATAAAAGACAAAAACAATATTCTGTTGCAATTAGTTTGATGTTTGGGCATTTTCTTGAAGAGTTTGACTAACACGACTAGATACCCTGGAGGCGGTCGGGAAACTAATGACATGTTTATTGCGTGTATATCAAACCGGACCGGATCTAAGTGATTAGTTCGAGCATGCGCATTACGAATTTTAATGGTAGTCAATGTTTCCGAAATACTCACAAAACCCAATAGAGAGAAACCAGCGGTTGAGTATACTGTTTTTTGTTTATAGTCCCGTAATCAAAATTACACGGACATCTAATTGCATTAATTGAACTGATATGATAGCAAAATTGTTATCGCCTTATGACATACGGGGTCAATGATGTTCATTTCACAACAAAAATTAGATAATTTTTGAATAACTACACTGAAAGAATATATGTTTTTCTCATTATCAGTAATGAGCTTGACTGGTTGGGGACACCGGCAGCAATACACAACTACGGTATCAGAAGAAACCGATACGAAGATTAAAAAACATCTAAAGTATACGTCAGTCTTGGATTTCCTAATTAGCATAGGTTTGGCTCCGGGAAGAAGAGAACTACATATTATACTGATTAGAAAAGCGAGATAGGATAATATGCAATTCAATAATATTACAAAAACAGGTCTAACGGTGCATCATAAAACTGAAAAATCTCCAAGACAGACGCAAATGTCATGGAAAGAAAATCAATGTAGCCACTCTTAACATTAACTGTGTGCCTTGAGCGAAATACAAGGAATCGAGAACTTCAGAGCATCAATTTTCTCGCCGTACTGAGCCTTGTTGGATGATAATTAGTTGATGATGAGAGGGAAAAAAATGTCAACCGACATTTCCTTCTTACTTGCGTCACTGCTGCGAACTCTTTCAAATATAGCGGCTCGTTATATTCACAAGTGCAAAAAAAAAAACGTTTACTGTATTTAGTACCATAAATATCCTGCAATTTACTGTGTAGTGTTAGAATGTGGCTGTTAGCATCGTAATTTCCTGCTTTGTGACGAATATTAAAAACAGCACACTGACAATCACGAAAACATGCCCGAGCTGGAAGTTAATGTGGCGAAATGGAATAACACACACACTCCAACCTTGACAATGAATTGCTGCTTAGGTGCAAACTATGTTGTTGAACACTAAATCTGAAACTGTGAAATCCAATTAGGACTTGTTTGTGTGATTAACGTTTTCAAACTACGTGAAAACATCAAATTCAGTTAAATTAATTAGCCTAGTTCTGACCCCCCATCCTCCTCCCCTAAATCTCGTTCTTTCAGAAACTTCTGCGCCAGTGTTGACTCAGCCCTTCTGTTGATTTTAACGTCACTAAAAACAAGAGAACACTGGAGTGTCAACAAAAACAAACATAATATGAACACAGCAAAAGAATGTATATGGAGGCCTTGAATAAGACCAGGTGTTCAGGAAGGGTAAACTACATACAGAGACTTGTAAAGTTGTCCGTCCATTGTTGAATTTATCCTCTCGTTCAAGGGCGAAATGGGCGAAAAGATACCAGAAACAAACAAAAAATCCTTAAGCAGCGTATGTTAGCATGCAGGAAACTCTAAAAAAAGGAAAACCCCGTACAGTTGTTATTTAAACACTATATTGAATATCAATAAAAGTGTTACTACCTCGGCCGGACTTACCGCCACGCAGTACCGCAGGTCAAGCACCTTGCACATGTGTAGTCGCGAAGGGCAGAGCGAGGGCACGCGTAGCGGGTACTCTCGCCAGTGACGATGCTGCCCCGGCCTTAAGCTGTCACACACTTTTAAATCCTTTAGAAGCATGGTTCGCGTGTGTACCCCTCCGTAGGATATTATCTGTAATGCAAATTCATACAGTTAGTATTACTACACAAGCCTTTGCAATTAGATGATTCAGAGAAATAAAATCAGAGTTGAACGTTCGTTCTCTCTGCATGCAAGCTTAAGACTTTCGATTTTGCTAAACGGATTGGCCTCACAAACGCGGAATGGTTTCCCGACTACATTTGTGAAAGTCGTTTGCAAAAAGCGACCAAAAACGAAATGATAAAAACATAAACAAATATTATACAGAATTGGGGAATAAAATAACTAAAATTTCACAAGACACAATGGTTAACCCATAAGACTAAATATGCACAAAGCGTGCGAAATAGCAATTTTTGGAGGAGACTTGCATGATTATCATGCTGGATAAATCATTATGATAAAAGATCGCGGTGTTTCCTGCGAATACCTGTGTATACATAATATGTCAGACTACGTATGACAGTGTTTAGCGATCACATGTGAGGATATGACTCCACACAATTCGACCATTGAACAGTCGGGAGTAGATGGCACAGTATCGATTTTGCTCCCACTGAATATAACCCTATAGCATGTGCTCGCTTCCAACGACCGTCTATATCGGGGAGAGGGACGGCGTGGGCGGGGAGGAACAGGGAGGACAGGGGTCGGGGAGGAACAGAGAGGGCAGTGGTCGGGGAGGAACAGAGAGGGCAGTGGTCGGGGAGGAACAGAGAGGGCAGTGGTCGGGGAGGAACAGAGAGGGCAGTGGTCGGGGAGGAACAGAGAGGGCAGTGGTCGGGGAGGAACAGAGAGGGCAGTGGTCGGGGAGGAACAGAGAGGGCAGTGGTCGGGGAGGAACAGAGAGGGCAGTGGTCGGGGAGGAACAGAGAGGGCAGTGGTCGGGGAGGAACAGAGAGGGCAGTGGTCGGGGAGGAACAGAGAGGGCAGTGGTCGGGGAGGAACAGAGAGGGCAGTGGTCGGGGAGGAACAGAGAGGGCAGTGGTCGGGGAGGAACAGAGAGGGCAGTGGTCGGGGAGGAACAGAGAGGGCAGTGGTCGGGGAGGAACAGAGAGGGCAGTGGTCGGGGAGGAACAGAGAGGGCAGTGGTCGGGGAGGAACAGAGAGGGCAGTGGTCGGGGAGGAACAGAGAGGGCAGTGGTCGGGGAGGAACAGAGAGGGCAGTGGTCGGGGAGGAACAGAGAGGGCAGTGGTCGGGGAGGAACAGAGAGGGCAGTGGTCGGGGAGGAACAGAGAGGGCAGTGGTCGGGGAGGAACAGAGAGGGCAGTGGTCGGGGAGGAACAGAGAGGGCAGTGGTCGGGGAGGAACAGAGAGGGCAGTGGTCGGGGAGGAACAGAGAGGGCAGTGGTCGGGGAGGAACAGAGAGGGCAGTGGTCGGGGAGGAACAGAGAGGGCAGTGGTCGGGGAGGAACAGAGAGGGCAGTGGTCGGGGAGGAACAGAGAGGGCAGTGGTCGGGGAGGAACAGAGAGGGCAGTGGTCGGGGAGGAACAGAGAGGGCAGTGGTCGGGGAGGAACAGAGAGGGCAGTGGTCGGGGAGGAACAGAGAGGGCAGTGGTCGGGGAGGAACAGAGAGGGCAGTGGTCGGGGAGGAACAGAGAGGGCAGTGGTCGGGGAGGAACAGAGAGGGCAGTGGTCGGGGAGGAACAGAGAGGGCAGTGGTCGGGGAGGAACAGAGAGGGCAGTGGTCGGGGAGGAACAGAGAGGGCAGTGGTCGGGGAGGAACAGAGAGGGCAGTGGTCGGGGAGGAACAGAGAGGGCAGTGGTCGGGGAGGAACAGAGAGGGCAGTGGTCGGGGAGGAACAGAGAGGGCAGTGGTCGGGGAGGAACAGAGAGGGCAGTGGTCGGGGAGGAACAGAGAGGGCAGTGGTCGGGGAGGAACAGAGAGGGCAGTGGTCGGGGAGGAACAGAGAGGGCAGTGGTCGGGGAGGAACAGAGAGGGCAGTGGTCGGGGAGGAACAGAGAGGGCAGTGGTCGGGGAGGAACAGAGAGGGCAGTGGTCGGGGAGGAACAGAGAGGGCAGTGGTCGGGTAGGAACAGAGAGGGCAGTGGTCGGGGAGGAACAGGGAGGACAGTGGTCGGGGAGGAACAGAGAGGGCATTGGTCGGGGAGGAACAGGGAGGACAGTGGTCGGGGAGGAACAGAGAGGGCAGTGGTCGGGGAGGAACAGGGAGGACAGTGGTCGGGGAGGAACAGAGAGGGCATTGGTCGGGGAGGAACAGAGACGACAGTGGTCGGGTAAGGAATAAGAAAGGATATATTTGGGAGGGATAGAGATAATACGCGAGTTGAGATGAAGAGAAGACATCAGAAAGAGACGGAACGTGGAGGATATCTAAGTGGACGAGGAAGAGTTAGAAATAGAACGAGGCGAAAAAGGAGGTAGAGTGAAGAGAGTAGAAAAAAGGCAGAGATGTAACGAGAGTGAAATTGTAATGGGCTATAGGGTGTGAAATAAATAAGGGAACGAGGGCGGGATGAAGTCAGAGTGGAAAAGGTTGGGAAAGACTGGAAGAGGGTCGCGGTGAAGAGATTACAATTATGGAAAGAAAAGGGTCAGGGAATAAGCAAGGGGGATGAGAGCAAGGGACAGAGAAGGAATATATAACAGTATGTCAAGATAAATATTGGTCATGTTCAACTGCAAAAAATCCCCAATAAGTTCTCGAAGGAAGTAAGCACATGTAACTCTGCATTTTTTTTATTATATCTTACCAATATTGCTCCATGTAACAAGTATTGGTCACGTTTTGGAAATAATCAGGAGAAATCCCTAAAGCCAAGTTAGTATCAAACAACTAGATGTAACAAAAGGAGAATACTCACCTGTTTCAGTTAGAAAATGATGTGACAATTTTACTAGATACTCACTTGTTTCAGTAGGACAATGACGTGATCATTTTACTAGATATACTCACTTGTTTCATTTGGACAATGATGTGACAATTTTACTAGATATACTCCCTTGTTTCAGTTAGCCAATGATGGGACAATTTTACTAGATGTACTCACTTGTTTCAGTTAGACAATGATGTGACGATTTTACTAGATACTCACCTGTTTCAGTTAGACAATGATGTGACAATTTTACTAGATATACTCACCTGTTTCAGTTAGAAAATGATGTGACAATTTTACTAGATACTCACTTGTTGCAGTTGGACAATAATGTGACAATTTTACTAGATACTCACTTGTTTCAGTAGGACAATGACGTGATCATTTTACTAGATATACTCACTTGTTTCATTTGGACAATGATGTGACAATTTTACTAGATATACTCACTTGTTTCAGTTAGCCAATGATGGGACAATTTTACTAGATATACTCACTTGTTTCAGTTAGACAATGATGTGACAATTTTACTAGATATTCACTTGTTTCAGTTTGAAAATGATGTGACAATTTTACTAGATATACTCACTTGTTTCATTTGGACAATGATGTGACAATTTTACTAGATACTCACTTGTTGCAGTTAGAAAATGATGTGACAATTTTACTAGATTCTCACTTGTTTCAGTTGGACAATGATGTGACAATTTTACTAGATATACTCACTTGTTTCAGTTAGACAATGATGTGACGATTTTACTAGATACTCACTTGTTGCAGTTAGAAAATGATGTGACAATTTTACTAGATATACTCACTTGTTTTAGTTAGACAATGATGTGACAATTTTACTAGATTCTCACTTGTTTCAGTTGGACAATGATGTGACATTTTTTCGAGATACTCACTTGTTTCTGTTGGACAATGATGTGACATTTTTACGAGATACTCACTTGTTTCAGTTGGCCAATGACGTGATCATTTTACTAGATATACTTACTTGTTTCAGTAGGACAATGATGTGACAATTTTACTAGATATACTCACTTGTTTCAGTTAGACAATGATGTGACAATTTTACTAGATTCTCACTTGTTTCAGTTNCTTGTTTCAGTTAGACAATGATGTGACAATTTTACAAGATATACTCACTTGTTTCAGTAGGCCAATGATGTGACAATTTTACTAGATATACTCACTTGTTTCAGTTGGACAATGATGTGATAATTTTACTAGATATACTCACTTGTTTCAGTTAGACAATGATGTGACAATTTTACTAGATATACTCACTTGTTTCAGTTAGACAATGATGTGACAATTTTAGTAGATACGCGCCTGTTTCAGTTTGAAAATGATGTGACAATTTTAGTAGATACTCACTTGTTTCAGTTGGACAATGATGTGACAATTTTTCTAGATACTCACTTGTTTCATTTGGACAATGATGTGACATTTTTACGAGATACTCACGTGTTTCAGTTTGACAATGATGGGACATTTTTACGAGATACTCACTTGTTTCAGTTTGACAGCGATGTGACAATTTTACGATATACTCACTTGTTTCAGTAAGACAATGATGTGACATTTTTACGAGATACTCACTTGTTTCAGTTTGACAGCGATGTGACAATTTTACGATACACTCACTTGTTTCAGTAAGACAATGATGTGACATTTTTACGAGATACTCACGTGTTTCAGTTTGACAATGATGGGACATTTTTACGAGATACTCACTTGTTTCACTTTGACAATGATGGGACATTTTTACGAGATACTCACTTGTTTCACTTTGACAATGATGGGACATTTTTACGAGATACTCACTTGTTTCACTTTGACAATGATGGGACATTTTTACGAGATACTCACTTGTTTCACTTTGACAATGATGTGACATTTTTACGAGATACTCACGTGTTTCAGTTTGACAATGATGGGACATTTTTACGAGATACTCACTTGTTTCACTTTGACAATGATGTGACATTTTTACGAGATACTCACTTGTTTCAGTAGGACAATGATGTCTCAATTTTACTAGATGCTCACCTGTTTCAGTAAGACAATGATGTGACAATTTTTCTAGATACTCACTTGTTTCTGTTGGACAATGATGTGACATTTCTACGAGATACTCACTTGTTTCAGTTTGACAATGATGTGACAAATTTACTAGATATACCCTCTTGTTTTAGTTAGACAATGATGTGACATTTTTACGAGATACTCACGTGTTTCAGTTTGACAATGATGGGACATTTTTACGAGATACTCACTTGTTTCACTTTGACAATGATGTGACATTTTTACGAGATACTCACGTGTTTCAGTTTGACAATGATGGGACATTTTTACGAGATACTCACTTGTTTCAGTTTGACAATGATGGGACATTTTTACGAGATACTCACTTGTTTCAGTTTGACAATGATTGGACATTTTTACGAGATACTCACTTGTTTCAGTTTGACAATGATGTGAGAAATTTACTAGATATACTCACTTGTTTTAGTTAGACAATGATGTGACATTTTTACGAGATGCTCACTTGTTTCACTTTGACAATGATGTGACATTTTTAAGAGATACTCACTTGTTTCAGTTTGACAGCGATGTGACAATTTTACGATATACTCACTTGTTTCAGTAAGACAATGATGTGACATTTTTACGAGATACTCACGTGTTTCAGTTTGACAATGATGGGACATTTTTACTAGATACTCACTTGTTGCAGTTGGACAATAATGTGACAATTTTACTAGATACTCACTTGTTTCAGTTTGACAATGATGGGACATTTTTACGAGATACTCACTTGTTTCAGTTTGACAGCGATGTGACAATTTTACGATATACTCACTTGTTTCAGTAAGACAATGATGTGACATTTTTACGAGATACTCACCTGTTTCAGTAGGACAATGTTGTGACAATTTTAGTAGATACGCGCCTGTTTAAGTTGGACAATGATGTGACAATTTTAGTAGATACTCACTTGTTTCATTTGGACAATGATGTGACAATTTTAGTAGATACTCATTTGTTTCAGTTGGACAATGATGTGACAATTTTACTAGATATACTCACTTGTTTCATTTGGACAATGATGTGACAATTTTACTAGATATACTCACTTGTTTCAGTTAGCCAATGATGTGACAAATTTACTAGATATACTCATCTGTTTTAGTTAGACAATGATGTGACAATTTTACTAGATGCTCACCTGTTTCAGTAAGAAAATGATGTGACAATTTTTGTAGATACGCGCCTGCTTCAGTTCGACAATGCTGTGACAATTTTTCTAGATTCTCACTTGTTTCAGTTAGACAATGATGTGACATTTTTACGAGATACTCACTTGTTTCAGTTAGAAAATGATGTGACATTTTTACGAGATACTCACTTGTTTCAGTAGGACAATGATGTCTCAATTTCACTAGATGCTCACCTGTTTCAGTAAGACAATGATGTGACAATTTTAGTTGATACGCGCCTGTTTCAGTTCGACAATGATGTGACAATTTTTCTAGATTCTCACTTGTTTCAGTTAGACAATGATGTGACATTTTTACGAGATACTCACTTGTTTCAGTAGGACAATGATGTCTCAATTTTACTAGATGCTCACCTGTTTCAGTTAGACAATGATGTGACAATGTTACTAGATACTCACTTGTTTAAGTTGGAGGCTTACTGCGCCCGACTTGCGGATGGACAGATTGTGTACAGTGATTGCTGCCCTGAGTATCTCTCCGGGCACGTAGGCACGTTTAGGTAGCGAGATGGAGCAGGACACTCGTCCGGGTCGGCAACAGAACGTGTGGACTGACCGCTCCGAGTGGTCCTCTAATGGATGCTGTGTCTGTGGACGAAAGGTGAAACACAGACAAGGTCAGTTTATGGACAAATACCGAGAAGATCAATGGTAAAATTACAGGTTTAAATGGTAAAATATGAATTGATGAACTGTGGACATCAGGGAGGAGGTATCAACAAATGCAAACAAAAACAATAAAGGTCATTTAGAACAGAACCAAGAAAGTAACCCTGATTTGACATCGCCTCCTGCTCCGGAACCCAAAACATGATTTATAAATCACGCGAACACTTAATATCATACGTTATCCTAAAATGTGATATTTTGTTATATAAAATTTATATATGTTGGCGGCTGAATCGGAATACAACGGACTTATGAGGATACGTTGCCCAGTTATAGACCATGTGGTGTAAGTACATAGGAGACAGGAGTGACACGCTCAATGGCGCCATAAACGGCTTCATAAAGAGGATATTAAATAACACAGCTAAACAATATAAATTAAATTCATTGTTTCCTGCAGAAGCAATAGGTGCTTGACAACAAACGGCGTCCCCAAAATCATCTAGTCGCGCAGTATAGACACCTCTGTCTCGTACGGTAGCTTACTTATTGAATGAAACACCAAAGAGATAAGCTATCCGGTCAAAAGGTCGCAACTCTAACGGCGCGATGTACCTACGCGAAGGATATAAGTACACTATCTTTCAGCTATACCTTCTCTTAATTCAAAAACGACAAAAACTACGATAGAAGAACAAGAAAAATGATTTCAATGACACTAAAGTAGAACAAAGGCCAAAGACAAGTATAACAATTGATCAGAAACAAAGAAAAAAATAAAATAAAGGACAATAACTCGAATGCTTGCTCGGAAACAAAATTATTTTGTTTTTGCCTACGTGGAATTGTTAAATATACTTTCAAGATTGTTTTGGTATGTAAGCTTCCCCTTATAAGAAAAGTTAGGGAATGTCTGAAGGATTCCTCTTGCAAAAAAAATATGCGACGTATTCGGCATCCCTGGACACAATTAGGGAGGGGGAGGCATTTGACATTAGGCATGCTAAAATCATAAACAGCATTATCACAAATAAACAAAAATCGCTAAAAAAAAAATAAAAAAAAATCCCCGAAACTAAAACCATTTTTTTCTGCCAAATCTATAAAATCTATTATTGACTCCAAAGTCTATTACTATTTAAAAATCAAGGAGGCTATCCCCTCCATATCCCCGCTCATGACATGTCACTCACAACAAGACACAATTATAATTCATCACATAGCAGCATCATATCACTTCCTACAAGAGTTGGACACTACACCAAGGTTAGCGGGAAATCAGATCACGGATGAAAAACCCGGATCTTCTCGACCCCTGTGCAGTCGCTGGTCAAGAATGAAAGGCTTGATTTAATTTTAGGTTTTTATATTCTTTACAACAGCTAAGATCCTCAGACGGTATTCACATATTATTGGGTCATTCGAATATACCATTTCACAGAAATATCGCAAACAAAACTTGGTAGCATGAACCCAGGCTTGGTACATTATTCTGAAAACGGGTTGACCAGATATTCCTATTTAACACAACTGTATAGGATAAAGTGCATATAAGGTCCGTAGTGTTGAGTCCAGTAGATAAATAGTTACATAGTGTCCACAGGTAATACAGGACAAAAGAATAAAGTAGATAGCTGTTTGTATCCTCATTGTCCACGAGACGAGAGCAAGAATCAAGCACATTCAACCCATGTCACTTGCATACAATATTTAATTAGAGTGATTCTGCAAGAAAAAAGTTCGATATGTAGCAATAAAGCTTACTTCTGTGTAGAAACGGAACATTGGTAAATGTAAAAGACGATCACATGAAGGTTGGTTTTCAGATCTACAGAAAAATTTTAATTTGTCCTGGCTTGGTGAAAAAGTCCATTAACTTGTGTTACTACAAAATGTCACACCAAACCGTGTGGAGTCGAGATCCTGGTACCATGATACAATCGTCTGAACACCAGGTTATATCCCCACTGGTTTCCGATAATACACGTTCAGACATTTAGAACCCACCCACGTGGCATCATTAATGCCTATATAAACTACAAATAGGGATCTATATGTATAAATGTACAAACCGACAGCAATGGACAAGCACACTGGTAATATAGCGAAAGGATTACATAATTATACCTAAATATACTCCATGCAGATGTGAGTTCCAGTTTCGATCATAATTCAATTACATATTCCACCATTCGGCTTTTTCTTTGAATTGATTCATTTAAGAGAAACAGCTTAGCCTAAAAATGTTAAATTGTGTAGTGGAATATGGCTGAAAGCCTACCGAATTAGCAGACGACAAGTCACATGGTTCCTTTTTCGGATCGTAGTCTCGCAGCACGTTAATGATGCGCTGCGTTGATATACATTCTCCATTGTATCGGATGATGATTCCTTGGACATTGTAACGCACGTGAGCATCAGGGCCTTCGAAGGAACATGGTACGCCCTCTGGTACCTTATACTGGAACGGAAACATATGGCGCCCTCTCTGTAGCACTTCTCTGCCTTCCCATCGACTTTGAGCGTTAACTGAAACACACCACAATTAAACATAAATTGTTTCTTGTGTTGATGTACATACACAAACATTTCCTCAACGTTTGTCATCTCGTAGTACATCCATTATCAACTAAAGTATCAAATGTTTTCTTCTATTCTGTTCTTACATTTGTGATGATAGCAATGTACGTGTTGCACCTTGATGCTATTCTTTACAATTGTGTGTAATGTTATTCACAATCTGTTCGCTTTATAAACCTGCCTGATTGAAATCTAGATTTAAGTTCTCACATCTCTTCCAATATTGTTTTATTTGTATGCCACTATCAATCCAAAGAGTGTTGTATACAAACCACGTCAATATTCTATGTTTCCAAATACGCTATGTAGGCTTCAAAACGCTGAACAATTCAAACAAAATGTTCATGGCATAGCTATCGAAAAATAGAGCGAGCAGTATACGTACTCTAGTGTACTGAACAACGTTGACATACATATATATATATATATAAACGTATATGAAGCATATAATAGAAATTATGAGGAACCAGCTGAACCCAGAAGTGACGTTGTATATAAGAAAATAAATGTAAGAGATTCTATTTTGCAAGGAAGTTTGTGACATTTGTGCGTGATGTGGTGTAGGACGGATACGGATATGATGTACAGTGTATGTATTGCCACAATAAAGGACATTTGTGTTTGAGAGCGACCCTTAACGGTAATACAAAACACACATATAATGATCTGCATACTGCTGATATCGCTACCGTCACTTTGAATCGAACGCAACCCTCGTTTTCCAGTATGATACACTTCCTGTTCTGTGGAGCGATCATTATTTGCGGTTGATACAGTATACGTCACGGATTAATTGACTAAGTGGACGGACGCCGCGTGATATAACAAAGGACGTACATGGTTTACGAATAGCCGTGAATATCGATGGCTTTTCCCCCCACTATCATGCAGTAATTGAAACGTCAAACAGGAGCGTTTCTCCAGGGTAATAGATGTTTCTTTTTTCAGTTTGTACTGACAGTCAGTTATAAACCAAATATCAATTTACTGTTCAGTGTGAATTATTAATTCAATATACATGCACGTAACACATTTCTGGTGATTTTTTGTTTACATGTAATACGTCACACGTGGACACAGGCTAGACTTTGTGTAAAGAAATACTCGTTATCTGAAAATTAAAACACTACAAGAACAAATCGTGTAGGGTTAGACCGAAAAAAGCGTGAATGTTCAAACGCTTAGGATAAGGTGTTATACTAATATTACTAAAATAAAATCGGATACGACTAGGTATCGATCTCCCTCTAGTTGAAAACAAGGCCATGTGACATGCTAGATAACAGAAACAAAACCTGATTTCCTAGTTACATGGTTAAACAGTGAACTATGTGGATTATGCAATGAAACACCACAAATATCGTATACTATCCCATCAGAAAACAATATTTTCAAGATAAAACTGGCATCCAATATTATGTAATTGAAGATAGTTTGGTCGTTCATATTAACATTCCAAACAGCAATTGAAGGTGGCTTGGAGGCTCATATTAACAATGTAGGAAACAGACCTATATCGCCTACCTGGATATTTTTGTAATCACGAAAAAAGCCTATATTTCCCAAGTTTGGCTCCGCCTTTCACCAACACTTCCTTTGTATAACATTTGTTTCCTTGGTCTAAATGTGCGTTAGAGTTAATTTTGTTGGAATTTGATCAACTGTTCTGGAGGAGCTGGCTTAGAAATACATAGACACCCCGCTTCGGGTCCAGCATCCAGGGGAGCTTCCTATTTCTGTACACAAGTATTTATTCCCGGCTCAAAGGGACCAATGTTCTTTCGTTTGAAATATGGATTAGATCTTTATATATGTGTATATGGTTTAAGAGGGGATTTCAACTGTTTCCATGTTATGATTCATGGACTTATTCTCCAGGGCGAGTCCATACCCCTGAGCTAATCCTGATAGCGTGATTGAGTTGTCTCTACATGCTCATCAAGCACACATTTGGTTATTTTGTACATGGTGGGGTATCATCCGTTTCCATGTTATTTCCATGTTATTGTCTTGGGACTAAGTCACAAATGACAGGGCCAGGCCCTCAGAGCAAATACTTGTAGCATGGCTAAGCTATCTCTTTAGGCCCACCAATGGTATATAGAGGTTCCCAAACGAGTGATGGTTGGTTGTCATGTTTATCTAGCTCGAGTTAGTTAATCTTTAAATTGTATAAAGACATGAGGTTTACCGAGTGTCTTTCACAATTTGAAAATTAACTAACGAGCGTTAGATAAACGTGATAACTAATCATCACGAGTTTTGGGACCTGTTTCTCCCATAGCGTTCGTATTTGTTCTCAAAAGAACCCACATGTTTCCCTTGGAAAATACATCATGTATGTTTCCGACGGGGAAAACTATTGCCACGGAGCATGCATCATAATGGAAAATGACATTGAAAAGCAGTGTTTCATGCCGTCATAAATCAAAGATTGACCAATGAAATCACGTCAATGAGTTAGGGGTGAGGTTAAATCATTTTAGCATGAGTTAATTTGTCTTTTCATATCTAGAAATAATTTTTTGGTCATAGGTAGAAGACCTCAACTATTGTCAGGTTAGACCTAAGCAATTCTTCCCTAGGGGCCGGGAGAACACCTTGCACAAAGTGTTTTAATGATTTACCTCTATTTCATATGCCGAACTCCGTCCATATGCCCCCAAGAGGCCGCACACATATTCCATGTCAAATTAAGTTAAATACCTTTCACTCGTGCGGAAGAATAAGGATTTTAGAGATTCAAATCCATTTCTCCTATTTTGTCTCGCGCCTCTATTTTAAAGAATGCTACAACCCTTCATTTATACAAAGATGAGAAACATGGCCAAAAAACCGTTCCAATTGGTTCAAGGACGTTCCGGATTGGATCTGGTTTTAATCCCTTCCTTGGTCTGTATGAATTAAGATGAATCCTAAAGATTTAGCAATATTTTTCTTATTTAGCCCAACCTCTCTGTCTCGAGATTGTGCAGTGATCTTTGCCATGATTCGGTAATATCCCTTTCGTTCGTACAGAAGGAGAAGCATTTTGATGATTTACACCTATAGCTGCTACTTAGCCTTCTCATCTGTCCTAAGGTTTGCGCCTATGCGGTGGCGCGGCGTCCGTCGTTACTACTTCAACTTTGTTTCCATTAAAACTCTACTAGTTCGCTTTTATTAATTTTGACTAAATTTGGTCTGGAACAATGCTTGACACTCGATGCTGAGGATGCAGTCACGTTCCTTCAATCCATGAGCAAAAACTATCATTCATGTTTGCGGGGTCGCTTAGGTTTTCAAGAACAGACTTTGCTTTTAACGTTGTCGTTAGGGTTTTAACATTAACAACAGTCAATGAAGGTAGCAAGGTCGCTCAAGATACAAGAAACTTTATTTAACGTCGAGAGATAATCACATAAATTAATAAAAAGCAGTAAAAATTATCACAGAAAAATAAAAAATATAAACAGTCTTTAAGGAAAGCAAGGTCGCTCTCTTAGCTTTTCATATTAGTATTCAAATGAGTCGCTTAGCTGGATAATTTTAGTTTTTCACAAAAGTCAATAACCAGGCAGGTGGAAACCAGAGTATATGCATAAATAACCTAAAGAAAAAGTAATCACAATGCTGTTCTGTATAGTTTTCTATATCGACAACTTGGGAATGATAAAATATGACCACCGGTATTCTAAGCAGGTTCAAAGAATATCACTGCATTCTGATTACGATAGTTTAGCTTGTCTAAGCGGTGAATCGGAATAGTTTAAACGGGAGCTGTCAGATGTGTATACATGGGAGGATAAAAATCGTTAACAACAACGATAAAAATCTAAATTCGATCTTGATCATTGTATTGGAATAATCTGTACCATTCACAGACACAAGGTTAGACGGGTCAGACAAGTGCAACAGCGTTCAACCCCCAGTTAGACGTAGCCAGCACCTATAATTGTTTTATTTGATCATCGAGCTGCAGCTGACGTCTGCCGCACAAAGGCCCTAGACTCACATCTACCAATTTACTGTTGTTCAAATATACATTAGTTGCCATATTCAGATGCTGGACCTGCCAATAACAAATAGCTGGCCTAGAAGTTCATTGTGTTACGCTACCGTTTGGTTCCCACGGCATATCGATGTTTCATAAAGAAACGTGTGATTTTAAAGTTGACTCGTTATAATCGCCATGCGATTCATCGAACGTTGAAGAAAAATTACGCAGTAAATATCATTTCTTTTTCATATTTAGAGGTAAAACGCGCGGAATTTTCCTTATGGACAAACATCTTAATAGAAGTCGAAAGTTTTATTTTGGCCAGAATCGAATTTGTGAATTACCTTTTCCCCACAGACAAAACCTATCGTCGAAGTAGATTTCTTCCTTCTCGTGCTCAATGTCTGTCCGATGAGTACCGCTCTGGACCGTCTCGCTCCACTTCGCACGCGCTGCTCCACGGAAACGGACCTCCACACCTAACAACAGAACAATTCAAACATTCAAACGCAAAACATTATTTTGCCTGTAACTGTTACTTGGTCGAAACAATGCTATTGAACTTCCTCTGAAAGAACAATCATTTAAAACTCAATGACAACAATACAGGTGGGGATTGAGGAAACCTTGTACCTACTGTTACTCACAGCAAGCTATAAAAGGTAACTACATATAATGTGGGAACCCCCTGCAAAGACATCAATATATCATCTCCAGTACACACGCATACATTACACACACGGAGGGACGCACGTAAATGACCTCAGGTGTTAATGAGACGCTAATCATGATAAAACTCAAAATAGAGCATATAGCTCAATGATAAGCTATACAAATGAATCAAAATATGCTTGAAAGTTGTGCTAAACCAATGTTTGTACTTGGTAATTGAAACTTCTCTGTCCCAGTTCCACCTGCTTGTTATATTGGTACATATATTTAGATTCATGTTTAATGTATACTCTTTCAGAACTACACGATATTATCACGGGAAAACGCACGCGACTCAGGTGGTTATAGGCTACCCTGGAGCAAACCTCACATGGCGCGTTGATCGCCCATCACAGGTAAATCAGTGCAGCATCCCCATTATCATGTAAGCATACCTTTGGTCATTGTAAGAGTTTCTGTACTAAAACATTGCTAAAGTAGACGCCTCTGCAATGAAGCGTAGGTCACGATTGCAAATCGTACATTCGTATTGATGATAGCCTATCACAGCCGTGATACAATGTAGCACCTATGTGGCTTAACTCAATCATTTAACACATCCAGGGTATTAACTAAAGCATGTAGACCATTCCTGTGTTTAACATCGGTCGTGGATATATATCAGCCATGTAAGTGCATCAAGGGTCATACCTTAGTCATATTTTCACATCCGGGGTAACAAATAAGTCATGTTAGTACTTCCGGGTTATACGGCGGCCATTTTAGCACCTCCGGATCGTACCTCGCTCACGTTAGCATATATGGGTCATATGTCAGTCATGTTAATACGTCGGGGTTAAACCTCGGTCGTGTTAGTACACGAGGGCTGTACTTTGACCATTACAAGATCAAACCTCGGTAATGTTAACGCATATGTGTTTATAAGCCAGCCATGTTAACACACCTGATATGATTAATCAGGCATATCTTGGTCATGTTATAAAACATGTAGCAAATCTAGGATGATACCTCGGCCATTTTGAAAATCTAAGGCAAAAGCTCAGCTGTGCTAGTACTGCCGGATACATCAGTATTTTCTTAAATATATGCACAAAAAATACCTTATCTGTGTTATTTCCTAAATATGTGACGATGTTACTAGTGATCTGTGTAAAATTCGTGTCATCTTTCTAATTTACGCAGTTTCCATTGCGTTGATTAGCCCTCTGTGAATTGTTTAGTATAATGTAATTAATGGTTATGTGAAGCCGTGTGACAAATCACAGTAGCAGCTGTGGTGCGGATCAAAATGACGTCACTTGTGTATCTCTCGAAAAGATTATTGATTCTTAGGCTCATTACCGTACGCTATTTTTCTGGACAACATACTTAGTGATCCTTCCAATCTCCGACATATTTCTTAGTGCTTATTGTCACCTCGTGATCGACCAGGACACTCACGTTATGTTTATTGGTTAACTGTGTCTGGCCCAGGGTGAAGGTCACTGCACTGCCCCAGAGTAGTTGATGGGGGCACTGTACTGTCACAGAAAAGATTACTAGGGACGTCTCAGAAAAAGTTTGGAGGAACAATGGGTAATGTCTGACTAAATAACGACAGACATTCGACTTTCTCAGGTGACGACGACCAAGGTGTCAGGGACATTTAATTAGCATTCATATAGTAAGTGTTACCGAACTGTCTCGGAGTAAATACCAAGAGACACTGGACTGTCTTGGAAAAAGTAACAAGTGACACTGGACTGTCTCGGAGTAAGTAACAGGTGACACTGGACTGTATCGGAGTAAGTAACAAGGGACACCGGACTGTCTCGGAGTAAGTAACAGGTGACACCGGACTGTCTCGGAGTAAGTAACAAGTGACACTGGACTGTCTTGGAAAAAGTAACAAGTGACACTGGACTGTCTCGGAGTAAGTAACAGGTGACATCGGACTGTCTCGGAGTAAGTAACAAGTGACACCGGACTGTCTTGGAGTAAGTAACAAGGGACACCGGACTGTCTCGGAATAAGTGACAAGTGACACAGTCTCGGAATAAGTGACAAGTGACACTGTCTCGGAGTAAGTGACAAGCTTAAGTGACACTAGACTGTCTTAGAATAAGTAAAACCGGACACTGGACTGTCTCGGAATAAGTAAAACCGGACACTGGACTGTCTCGGAATAAATAAAACCGGACACTGGACTGTCTTGGAATAAGAAACAGGGGACACCGGACTGTCTCGGAGTAAGTAATAAGTGACACTGGACTGTCTCGGAGTAAATAACAGTGACACTGGACTTATTTAGACTAGATTATGTGAGGGACACTCTTTTCAAACTGTGTGACGATGGACAAACGACACCGGAATGGGCGGCTTCAGACTAAGCGACGAGGACTACTTAATTAGTTCCCCTAAGCGACCAATAACATGTAGGGCTGCCTTGGTCTAGATGATGGGGGCTTTGCACTTTCATAGATGAGTTGATGCCAGCACATTGGAATCGACTGTCTCGGACACAAAGAGATGAGGAACAATGTGTTGTGTCATATTGCAAGACAACCGACAGTCGGCTGTCTTAGAATAGGTTCTGAGGGAAAATGAAATTTTACAGACAATTTCGTGAAAGGCATTCTACAACGTCAGACTAAATATCAGAGGACAATGAGCTGTCTCCGACTTGTTTGACTGTTTAAGACTAGGTTGTGAGGGCACTGGGTCGGTTAGGACAAGGTGACGAAGTAGACTTGACTCTCACAAACCTGGATACGTGTATCAAGAGCGTAACCCAGGGATTTCGAGAAAGGACTCTCACAGACAATGGGTCCGTGACAAGGTTGACATCCGACTTTCCCAGACTTGTTGTCAAAAATACGACACTCGACTCTTTCAGACTTGTTGACAAGAATACGGTATTTGACTCGGTGACGATCGAGGGACAACACCCAACTGCATCTTGCTTGAGAACGAAGAACACTGGACACTCACAAACAGTGAAGATATCGTGACATTTAACACAACCATGTATGATATTTATCTGAACTGAAGAGCCTACCACAATCCGAGAACATCCTGCATTTGGTCATTGAGAAGCCCATTGTCGACAACACAACCTGCTTGATAGTCCTTATCACGACCTTAGATCATCACTGATCTTCTAGCTTCTTCTAATGATATCGCCGTGGTTATGTATCGAGGACACTGATTGGTGGGTTCTGCTCCGTCTGTGGTGGCATACTTCTATATCATCTCGCGGTGTTCACGCTCATCATAGGTGATGCGAGGAAGATAAACGTTAAAAAATCCATAGTTGACTTGATTAATAACAAGTCGGTGACCCATTCAGTAAATCTGCCATATAAAGTGAATAAACTGTAGAGATCAGGAAAACGTCAACTTGTTCAACAAATGACTTGCATGGAATTATTAATACTTCCAATACAGAAACTATATTTATAATAAATGACTGAAAATGACATTTCTAATATCATATGTTAACTCTTCAATAATGCAAAACATTTGCTTGATCATTCCCGACAGTTTGTTGCAAATTTGTGATGAAAATTCAGGTGTTTTGGCTTCTGTACATGTAGTTGCTTATCAGAAAACGTTATTCTTCCATATAAGGTCGTATTATATATGCGGATAAAGTGTCTAAATCACCAAGGTTACTGTGTATGTCCGTCACGGCGATCGACCGACTTTCAATAAAGTCTTCGTATAATCACATGACATATTGTCTTCAAAAGACATAGTAAAGCTGGACCAAATTATCTTTCACCGCTGACATTTCACATGACATTTTCACTTCCGGTCTTCTTCTCGTATGAATATCAAGAATATAAATAATTTACATTCACCAATGCTGACTGAATTATCAAGATAGGAGTATTAGTTTTGCTACATGGCTGTTTATTTTTGTACTGATCAAACGGATGTATTTGTGTCGATGGTCTGTCTGTAACACTAGGACAACTGACAGATTTCCTCTTTCAGTGATGAATGACAGTCACGAGCATCTAGGCTTTACCGGTCTCGTTATTGACCAGTTCGGCTTAATATATTGACACGCTTGTCGCTACCTTCATCCATTGCGCTTTACGGAGGTGCGAAACTGACCACAGCGTGTCACCACAACGAATTATTTATAGATATATCAGCTCATATCACGTGGTGTATTTTTTTCATCACTACTTCCGCTTTTACACGGCTGCCTGTGTAATATTAATTATCCTCGTTTACAATCAATGAGAGAAAACACAATCTCTTCCGCGTAATCACAGACGCTGAGTGATAAACAAGACCCGAGTGTGAGATGGTAATACACGCCATACATCCTGATCTGACGGGAAGCACATGTGATGTGCACAACCCGTGTGTACGGTGCAGAGCCCCGGGTCACATCTTGTACCACACCTGTATTAAACAGAGCACTTGCTCGTGCACTGTTCTTAGTCTTATTTGACACTTCGTTCATATATTGGCCCTGTGTTGCCGTACAAGAGTCACAGACAACGTAATATACCACACCTGTATCATTCCGGCAACGCATGTGTACCATGTCTTAGGTTTTTATCTCACATCTGTATTATACTGACCAAATGTACCGTACAAGCACCACACCAGTGTCGTGCAGACCATTGTGAACTTTGGGTCACGTCTTACACCACATGTGCCTGATCTAACACTAGCCTTGCATGCTGCTTTGTCAAACGCATGTATCATGCAACCAATGTATGTGTGATCCTACACGAGCCGTCGGTCACATCCTACAACACACCAGTTTACCATATAGCCAATATATGACCTTACAGGAGCCTCGGTTCAAACCCTGCAACACAACTGTATCATACAGTCCATATTTGACCTTACACAGGCCTTAGGTCACAAATATTGTCTCCCAACTGTATCATCCAGCCCATATGTGACCTTACACAACCCTTGGATCTCACCTTGCCACACACCTGTATGATAAAGATCATGTGTGACCTTAAAATAATCTTTATTCATGCCTTACAAGACGTTCACATCAAAAAGCCCGCAAGTGATCCGACACGAATCTTTGTTCATGTTTTGCAACACATTCATATCCTTAAGCCCGCATGCAACCTGACACGAACTTCAGTCAATCCCACACTTATATAATACAGCTAACGTGTTTCCATACACAAGACCAGAGCTAATAGCTCATGTGTTATCATACACAAATCAAGAGTCACAGTCTACCCCACAATCATATAATACAGCTCACGTGTTATCATACAAAGGTCCAGAGACACAGTCTACCCCACACTTATATAATACAGCTCATGTGTTAAAATACGCAAGTCCAGTTACACAATCTACCCCACACTTATATATATAATACAGCTCACGTGTTATCATACAAAAGTTCAAAGACACAGTCTACCCCACACTTATATATATAATACAGCTCATGTGTTACCATACACAAGCAGAGACACAGTCTGTCCCACACTTATATATATATATAATACAGCTCATGTGTTACCATACACAAGCACAGAGCCACAGACTGCCCCACACTTATATATATAATACAGCTCATGTGTTATCATACACAAGCACAGAGCCACAGTCTGCCCCACACTCATATATATAACACAGCTCATGTGTTACCATACACAAGCACAGAGCCACAGTCTGCCCCACACTCATATATATATAACACAGCTCATGTGTTACCATACACAAGTCCAGAGTCAGAGTCTACCCCACACGTAACCATACACAAGCACAGAGCCACAATCTGCCCCACACTCATATATATAATACAGCTCATGTGTTACCATACACAAGTCCTGAGTCAGAGTCTACCCCACACTTATATATATAATACAGCTCACGTGTTACCATACACAAGCACAGAGTCACAGTATACCCCACACTTATATATATAATACAGCTCACGTGTTACCATACACAAGCCCATAGCCACAGTCTGTCCCACACTTATATAATACAGCTCACGTGTTATCAAACACAAGCACAGAGTCACAGTCTACCCCACACTTATATATATAATACAGCTCACGTGTTACCATACACAAGTCCAGAGCCACAGTCTGTCCCACACTTATATAATACAGCTCACGTGTTATCAAACACAAGCACAGAGTCACAGTCTACCCCACACTTATATATATAATACAGCTCACGTGTTACCATACATAAGCACAGAGACACAGTCTACCCCACTCTTATATATATAATACAGCTCACGTGTTACCATACACAAGTCCAGAGTCTACCCAACACTTATATAATACACCTCATGTGTTACCATACACAAGCACATATCCACCTTTTACCCACACTTGAATTTGTATGCAATAAAGCTCATATGTTAAATGTATCATACACAAGCCCCTCCTCACGTACCCTCTCCACACGCATGTATTACATTGTAATATTGACATGTTTTACCATACATGAGCACCAGACGCTGTCATCGCAAATGTATTGACTACGTATTATTACACACAAGTCCCAAGCTACACTCGATCCCACACTTACATCATACAGCTCACGTGTTACCATACACAAGTCCCGAGTCACGCCCTACCCCACGTTTGTATCCTATGGACCACGTGTTATCAATCCGAACCTCGTGCCACATTCTACTCCACACGCGTGTGATGAAACCGTGTTATCATACATGTAGCCCATATTACACCCTACCGCATTCACCTGTACCACATACAACCCACGTGCACGTGTCACCTCTTACACAGCCTTCGGGCAACGGTACCGGTCTTTCCGATACCAGCATGTTAAACAGTTGCCATACACGCTGATTATGCTATACCGCATTTACTTGTTAAACAATAATTTAACATCGTATTTAGTACAAAAGTTTCAGCGTATACATTGTATAGAATGAATTGTACTGTATTGATTGAATTGTTTTGTTTGACGGCCCATTGATAGTTGGGGTCATTTAAAGTATTGATTGGAGGAACACTAAATGTATACAACTTGTATCAATTAAACATTTTAAGGTTCTTTCACGATACACTGCATCTTAAATGAGTATATTAACATGTCTGTATTGAATACACTAGCCACACGGCTCTATGAGCTGATACCCCCTTATATTGCTTACCTGCTATAATGACGGGCAAACCGATGTGTAGGACCAGTGACCCCTTGACCCTCTGGCCGGAGATATATACCTGGTTGTCCCCTTCGAGATGCAGATCTATAGAGGTAACAGCCATGATTGCCACGGTTCATGTGTCTAGGTTCTCAAACATATTTTGTCCCCACAAAAAGCACACTCAAGGCACAATACAAGCACCGTGCAGACAACACCCTTCCACATGACCCCGTGAATGGTCACCATAGAAACGCGAAATGGCAATGACAGTAAGGCAGACTGCTTTTTGTTCACATCCACAGAGCATCAAAGGCACAATAAATATTTCCAATATCGAAAGCAAATTTTCGTTTTCGTTGTGTTGCAGCTTATCGCCATTACTGGAATGGCTGCCTTGCTGCCTCACTCAGCACACCGCTAGCCAAGTGCGCCCGATCAATAAGGCCATGGCTTCCCCTTGTAGTACCCACTGTATCTGTTGCAGGATTCCTCGAGCTTCAGTCACCAGTAGGCATACAAACATTTTATATATGAGTCTGTCTACATGGATTTAATTGTAGCCATCCTACCTTTGTCTGACTATAGTGCGAACGATATTATTTGATGTCGTTACGATCCGAGATGAGAGGCCTGATCGCTAGATAGAACACACGGTGTCACTACTGATCTATACCCAATGGTAATCGGCTAAACCCAAGAGATGTGAAGAGTATTTTTAGCAAGAAAAATGAAATATATATCACGATTGTGAAAAGTTGCTGTTGTTAAGACTGACACGGGAGATTAAGGAGGGATTGAACAGGAGGACATGAACACACGTGTAGACGTAAAACTGTCGATTAAAGTATTGCTGAATTCGTGAAATTTAATCTGGATGGAGAAGTGTTGGAATTGGAAAACTGCACCAAGACGGGATCGAGTGTGATAGAATGGTTTCCATGTACAATGTTTATGTATTCTTTGTCTAACTATCCGACAAACTATTTTGCCAGTGCTCACTACCACAAGTAAAATTCATCACGATAAGTGCTTACGATGTTTAACGCTAATCTACAGATATGTGGAACAAGTGTACCTAAGTATACGGACATGACCTCGCCCGCAAGGAACACCCAGTTCGCAAAGGCACAAACAATCTAATTTTATATTCTCTTTAAAATGCTATCCACAGCTAGATTAGGTCGCTGGAATTCATCTGACGTGCCGTTTTTGTTGCTACTCAATAAACAAGTCTGGTTTCTGTCTCTATAAATTCCATAACAAACAAAAAAAATGCTAGTATTAGCAGGTTTTCCTGTTTGGTGTTACGTGCAATCCCGATGAGCAATTTGTTCGAACTTTCCAATGTGCCATGAAGTTGTAAAATGTAACAGCCAATTTTGCATCGCAAGCCTTAACTGGGTAGATTAATGTCTCAACACTTGCACAAATCATTACGTTCCGTGTTTTTTTCGGACGAAAAAAAGGCGCCAGTCAAGTTTTATGAATCAGTAAAGACAGGAAGAAATTACCTTGTACATAATTACCGGAGGACACACCAAATCAGAGAGTTCAGGAAAAAGGCAGCATAGCCGTATTAAAACAAACACTCTATTATTTGAACATGAGTAGAAACCATTCCGTGTAGTAGTGTCGACATTGTTTTCGTAATTATTTGTCATTCAGGTCTGTACACACACAAAAAACACTATACTACGCTGACGTCATTAAAATAACGTCACTTACGTCAGGTAACGTTTCGTACTGCACACTAACTAGTAGTATTTGTAAGCAATTTATTACATACCACATATTACATATACCATGGGCACGTATTCATGAAACCGTTTTCATGCTCAAGCATAGATTTTGTGCTCAAGCTCAAGTTCTTGTTCCAGATATAAATAGATAAACAAATCTTATTTTGTCTAGGATTTGGATATATTTTGAAGAGCCTGTAAGTGTCGAATACGGTTTTCAATGCTTACATTTTACTTTTTGATCTTTGACATGTTTTAGGCGAGTTGCAAAAAAGTTGGTTTGAGCACAGACTCCATGCTTGAGCATGAGAATGGTTTCATGAATACAGTGAATCTTACAATAATGATACAGCTAATTCTCAGACCATGCAATACAAAGTCCTGTAAAATGTATCTCACTGTGATAATTGAATATGTATTACTCTAGTAGCAAGAATTCCGTTTTGACCGTAACCCATCGGTTGTTATCCGCCGATTAAATCGACAAATTGAAACAGGAATGGGTTCCGCACAATAGAGCGTCATATGTTGCGCTATTGTTAGGTAACGTCATATTTCCGCCCTCGACGACGTCATTTGTCCGCCATAGTTGTTCAGCTAAAGTTTTCGGGAAGGAAAATGAGCAATAAGTCTGGGTCTGAGTAATGCTTTGAAAAAGGTATGGTAAGCATATAAGAACAATTTAGGTATTATAATAAAAGCAATATCACACATGTGTTTAAATGTAAGCAACATCGTCGCCGTCATGTTGTTCGAACCAAATAATTTTCTGTGATAAAAGTCATAAAAAAACATTAATTGGCTTTAGGGAGGCCAAAAAGTATGTACATCTGGTGAAAGACATTTTAAATGTTAACCTAAAATCTTGAATCAATAAACATATCAAACATAAATGAAAAAAGAAAATGCAACACACGAATCAAATAAAACAAAAAGGTCAAACATCAACAGGAACCGAAGAGTTGCAATTGTATCAAGCAAAACAAAACGGAAAGTATAACCCGCAAGTGAACGTAACTGCGCTTAACAGAACACCGCTGTCTCTGTACCACATGCATTATCCGTAATGATTTTTTATGGCCAATCAGTAGATGACCATACATACTTAAATGTACACTTGGTCAAGAGAATATCGCTGTCACATCTTGTTTGTTGTTTTCCATTGTTAATGAGCTTTTGATACGTTTATGGAAAACCTACACTACGTTGTAAGAACTTGTTTATAATCCATGTCAGCGTACAATGAAATACGTTTAAATTATACGTTTATAGATTACAAAGTAGCTCAACAAGCGTGCATTTAAGTTTTCGTTTTCCACATAGATTTCACACATATGTGTGAATATTTCTAAAACCGGTAATAAATTCGGTGCTCACAATATCTATAACTTTAGTGTGTGTACATCGAAGGTATACTTTTGATCGCAATTAGTGTGTCATCATTACAGTTGGTTTCAAAATAAAATAACAACTTATTTATCATTGATGATAAAGAAACAGCATTGTTCATATGTGGGAACTGGAGGTTATGAGGTTACCATTGTTTATATGTGAGAACTGGAGGTTACGAGGTTACCATTGTTTATATGTGGGAACTGGAGGTTCCGATGTTAGAATTGTTCATATGTGGTAACTGGAGGTAACAAAGTTATCATTGTTTATATGTGTGAACTGGAGGTTACCAGGTTAGCATTGTTTATATGTGGGAACTGGAGGTTACGATGTTAGAATTGTTTATATGTGTGAACTGGAGGTAACAAGGTTATCATTGTTTATAAGTGTGAACTGGAGGTAACAAGGTTATCATTGTTCATATGTGGTAACTGGAGGTAACAAGGTTATCATTGTTTATATGTGTGAACTGGAGGTAACAAGGTTATCATTGATTATATGTGGTAACTGGAGGTAACAATGGTATCATTGTTTATATGTGGTAACTGGAGATAACAATGTTATCATTGTTTATATGTGGGAACTGGAGGTTACAAGGTTATCATTGTTTATATGTGTGAACTGGAGGTTACAAGGTTATCATTGTTTATATGTGGTAACTGGAGGTAACAATGTTATCATTGTTTATATGTGGTAACTGGAGGTAACAAGGTTATCATTGTTTATATGTTTGAACTGGAGGTAGCAAGGTTATCATTGTTTATATGTGTGAACTGGAGGCAACAAGGTTATCATTGTTTATATGTGGTAACTGGAGGGAACAAGGTTATCATTGTTTATATGTGTGAACTGGAGGCAACAAGGTTATCATTGTTTATATGTGGTAACTGGAGGTTACAAGGTTATCATTGTTTATATGTGTGAACTGGAGGCAACAAGGTTATCATTGTTTATATGTGGTAACTGGAGGGAACAAGGTTATCATTGTTTATATGTGTGAACTGGTGGTTACAAGGTTATCATTGTTTATATGTGTGAACTGGAGGTTACAAGGTTATCATTGTTTATATGTGGGAACTGGAGGTAACAAGGTTATCATTGTTTATATGTTTGAACTGGAGGTAGCAAGGTTATCATTGTTTATATGTGTGAACTGGAGGTAACAAGGTTATCATTGTTTATGTGTGGTAACTGGAGGTAACAAGGTTATCATTGTTTATATGTGCTAACTGGAGGTAACAAGGTTATCATTGTTTATATGTATGAACTGGAGGTTACGATGTCAGAATTGTTTATATGTGGGAACTGGAGGTTACGATGTTAGAATTGTTTATATGTGGGAACTGGAGGTTACAAGGTTATCATTGTTTATATGTGTGAACTGGTTATCATTGTTTATATGTTTGAACTGGAGGTAGCAAGGTTATCATTGTTTATATGTGTGAACTGGAGGTAACAAGGTTATCATTGTTTATGTGTGGTAACTGGAGGTAACAAGGTTATCATTGTTTATATGTGCTAACTGGAGGTAACAAGGTTATCATTGTTTATATGTATGAACTGGAGGTTACGATGTCAGAATTGTTTATATGTGGGAACTGGAGGTTACGATGTTAGAATTGTTTATATGTGGGAACTGGAGGTAACAAGGTTATCATTGTTTATATGTATGAACTGGAGGTTACGATGTTAGAGTTGTTTATATGTGGGAACTGGGGGTTACGAGGTTAGAATTGTTTATATGTGGGAACTGGAGGTAACAAGGTTAGCATTGTTTATATGTGGGAACTGGAGGTTACGATGTTAGAATTGTTTATATGTGGGAACTGGAGGTAACAAGGTTAGCATTGTTTATATGTGGGAACTGGAGGTTACGATGTTAGAATTGTTTATATGTGGGAACTGGAGGTTACAATGTTATCATTGTTCATATGTGGTTACTGGAGGAAACAAGGTTATCATTGTTTATATGTATGAACTGGAGGTTACGATGTTAGAGTTGTTTATATGTGGGAACTGGGGGTTACGAGGTTAGAATTGTTTATATGTGGGAACTGGAGGTAACAAGGTTATCATTGTTTATATGTATGAACTGGAGCTTACGATGTCAGAATTGTTTATATGTGGGAACTGGAGGTTACAATGTTATCATTGTTCATATGTGGTTACTGGAGGTAACAAGGTTATCACTGTTTATATGTGTGAACTGGAGGTTACAAGGTTATCATTGTTCATATGTGGTAACTGGAGGTAACAAGGTCATCATTGTTTATATGTGTGAACTGGAGGTAACAAGGTTATCATTGTTTATATGTGCTAACTGGAGGTAACAAGGTTATCATTGTTTATATGTATGAACTGGAGCTTACGATGTCAGAATTGTTTATATGTG